CAAACTTAAAAAGTAGTTACATTGTATTAGATTAAGCGCAATTTTTTTAAATGAATTTATATCTTTTCCTTTTTATGAAAAACTTATACGTACGCATATTTAATAATTTATTAATATTCTTATTATAAGAAAAACCTTTTCATATATTGATATATATATATATATCAATTTAAACCATGCCTCATATACATGCATACAATAAACATAAATGTATCGTAAAAAAAGGTGTAAGTCCCTGAGAATTATACTTACCTATATCCATATTAATGTTTCTATATATACATATACTCTTTATACATAATTAATTTATAATAAAAATTTTCATATTAATTTATTTACCATAAATGCTTCAGTCAAAGATTATAATTACATGAATTATTTAATATTTTATAAGATATTCAGCAGGAGAATAGTATATAACACCTAGTAATCTTAAATGAATTTTGTTTTTATATTATACGTGTGAGTTAATCAGTTTTGTTAATCGAATTTTTGAAATTTTTATTAATCTAAGTTCTTTTCATATCAAAATCATTTTGTTGATTCTCATATTATCTTAAAAATCTTCAAATTCTCGTTATTTTTATTAATTTTATATATGTATGTGTGTATTTAAATATATAAGAAATTATAATCCTTAAGATTGAGGTGGTTTTTATTACTCAGTATAATATTAGTATATATGCATACATATTACGTTCAGGTTTAAATTATGCATTTCCGTTTTTAAAATCATCCCAATCGGTATTTTATCGATTTCATGATTTCAAAGGTGAGAATAATTTCATAATAACAATAAAACAGTTAGTATGGAACAGTTAGTTTGAAATAAAATTATGGTATATAGTTCCGGGAAAACAGTGGAATAAAGAGTTGTAAAGCATATAAGCTTATGGGACATAGATTAAACCTCATGATTCCTCTTGAGAGTCGGAGCATGCCTTTAAGTATACGCTGTTGCTTGTACTACATTAATACAAATAGAGCAAACCAACAAAAAGAATTTGGAATAGGTATAGAGTTTTTTTTTTAAATAACTTTCTTACATAATATATAAATAATTCCATATTTGCTTTTCGGGATTTTTGCTTTTCTCTTTTCCACAATCATTTTTAGAATATCGTCTCAACAATTTACATTCTATACATACATACATACATCAATACTACTTAGATATACGTATATATTTATTATTACTGAATTAAGCAAATATACCAATTAATTCGTATTAAATGAGAAAAAAAAAATTATATTAGCTGAGATTAAAATACAATTTTAATGATAATCCCAAATGTATAAAAATACACACTAACATAAAAAATATATTGTTGTTAATATGAAGTATATATATACTACATAAGTATTACATTCCTTAAACCGTATAAACATGTAGATATAATAAAACTGAAAGAGTAAATAAAAAAAATGTGTAAATTAAATATTCGAAACAAGTTAAATAGACTATAATCTACATGAATTCACAAGAAAATACTGCGTTTACACAATGTATTTTAAGACTTTTATTTCTTATTCTTACACTAGTCTGAAAGAAAAATTAAGATATATAATAATATGCATGAATGAAAAAGAATTAACTAGGTTTTATCTTAATTCAAGGGTTATTCAAAGAATATTTTTACTAATAAATAAAAATATTAAAACCGTATTCGTTTTAATTTAACAATATAAACAGATTTGACTTACAATATTTGAGACTATATAGTTTCTAAATGATATGCTGTTTGATCTTCTTTTCCAAGGCCAAGCCTTTTAAGGTGAGCCCTAAGGCGACAATGCCCATCAAGAAGAGTGTATTTATCTATAATGATAAAACAGACTTATTAAATTGAATAAAAAGTTCAGAAGTAATAATTATCAAAACTCTTACCATAAATATGAATCCTTCTATACGTACTTATGTACATATATATACATACGATATATAATTATTTTAGGGATCTTTTTAGAAGTCAAAAATAGAACCGTCTCTGCATTTTTATTTGAAATTCTAACAACAGTTATAACCGCTTAAGTGCGTCAAAAAAAAACTGCAATTTTTGTAAACACTTATCCGAATAGAGCTCTTAACCGAACCCGTTTAACTGCACAAATAAAAGCAACTTTGAAATTAGACGTATGCAAACCATTTTTTTTTCAAAAACTTTCGAAAAAATTTGGTTTTTTGGTTTGAGTCTGAGGCAAGAGAGCGATGAATTGCAGAACAAATTAAAATTATTTTTAGAACAATTATGTGCTTCAAAAAGGAATGCACTTAAACGATTTAAGCAGTTATAAGAAACGCAATTCACCGATTTTTTTGATGTTGAATATAATGGAGAAAGTAAAAGTTCTAAAAAACTTGATGTACCTAAGCGGGAAGCAGCTAAATGGGTATTATTGTAATTTACATATTGAATTTCTTAAATTTGTCAAAGAAATATTTCATAAAATATATTTGAAATAGAAATACATATACTCGTATTTTTATAATAATGAAAGTATTTGAATTTTTATTAAATTAAATTAAATGAGAATATTATATTATGTGTGTATATATTGTATATGTATATTATTTATGTGTCTATAATACACATTAAAAAATTTCAAAAGAAAATAATATGAAACTATATATTGAGTGTCAAATAGAACTCAATATACATATGTATGTACATAGTTTTACGAGTATATTCAAACTTCTAAGAAAAAATTAATTAAAAATTAAATGAATTATCAAATCACGTTTGAAATTCACAAAACTTAATTCAATGATTTTAATGATATTAAACAGTGTTACAGAGCACTTAAGTTCCTTTTATTAAGTTTAAGTTACAATATTATTAATTTACTCTGAACGTATACAAGAAGCTGTCTCTCTTTTTGTGTTTTTGTATATCTTTTCCTAACGACCGCATTGCATACAATAAGGAAGGTCATGTGATGGCTCCAAATTTTGCATATCGAATTTTCGGTGGAAACGCACCATGGTAAGCGTAAAAAAATTTTTTTGGGGAGATGTCGGTCCGTCTGCCTGTATGTGGCCGCGTGTGTCATAGAGTCACCTATAATTCGTTCGGATGGAGCTCAATCAAAATGTACAATTTGTATTGGAAAAAGCTCGTATCTTAAGTTCGACTTAACCGATTTTGATGAAATTTTAAGTGTAGATTTATTTTTGAGTCACGGAGTTTTACACTTGAGTTTTAATGTCACGAATTCATCAACTTTTGGAATATGTCAGGCCTTGAATCCAATTTTTGGAATTTAATATTTAAATTCGGGGTATTAAAACTATGCAATTATTTTTTTTTTGGAAAGATCCATACTCGGAAGCTGAGATAGGGGCCGATTTTACATTTTCTAGTTTTATTACTTCCAATGGTCCAAAGCGAAACTCCACTAAGAGCTTAAAATACATTTTTCCAGGTATGTTTACTAAAAGCTTACTTACTTCCACAAAATTGAAAACAAGTGTTGAAAATGCGTTTAATTTCATAATCTTTCGTAATATTTTCGCTAAACGATACAATATACATATTCCGGTCGATTATGGAGTGACCAACTTCATTGAAAAAACAAATCAAATCAAAAAGATAACACTATAAATTTAATGAAATTATACCATTAACAATTTTTAACATTAATTTTAAAATAAAGAAATAAACAAGCCAGAGCAGCGGAAATTCAGTAATCAAAATTAAATTTTCTAAAAAGAGTTGTAAACAATTTTTCTGATTTTTTAATATTTTTAACTTTAACAAGGTAATAATATATGTTTTCTTAGGTATGTACACAAGTATATTTAAATAAACACCGTATATCGCAATATGTTATAAAAACTGTGTTATATTTGTGTTCATAAACAAAAATATTGTATATCAAATTTGACAGTAAACATTGCTTATCACAGACTTATTTAATTTGTTAGCAAAATCTACACACACTTTATATCAGCCGTCGGCAAAGTGCTGCCTATGTTCAGCATGCGTCCCATTGAACTTCAAAATGCGGTTCATCATTTAAAGCTTTAATTTATTATTAAATTTTAATTTTAAATTAATTTTTTTCTTACTTCATAACTCGCTTTAGTAACTTTAATGGATTTTTTTTCCGCAAATGTTTATTGTTCAACCTTTATTCTAACTTTATTACCAGATGAAAATGAAGTATGAAAAGGAACGTAAAAAAAAAACAGTTTTGTTCACGAAGCTCTTTAAAATCTAAAACTTTTTGCATAAATTATTTTTCTAATTATGTTATTTGTTAACATTTTATAAATTAGAAAAGCTTTTATCGTAAAAAATAAATCTAAATTTAAAATATGAAAACAAAGTATTTTCCCGATTTAGTAAAGGGAAATATTGTTATCAGAGCTAAAAATTTAATGTACTAAATATTATTGCTAGCACAAGATTTTAATACGTTCATAGTAAATTATAATTTTGCGTAAAAATTAAAATATGTAATCTGTATGGGAACAGAATTTCTTCAGTAAATCTATTTTTTCCGAAACTAAATTCTTATACATATATATATCTGCATATGTACATATATATTTATCAATATGAGGGATATACCTTAGATACTCATAACTTCATGAAATAACAGCATAGTGTGATTTTTTTTTATAAATAACAAAAAAGTTTAATAATAAAAACGTCAACAATTCACTAAATGTGCAGAATTGCATAAATGTATAAATTCATACTTAAGAATTATATTTTCAAAAATACCTAACCTTTCTAATTATATATGTATGTATGTAGATGTGCACAAATCTTAATGCAGAATATTTAAAAAGTTTTACTTACTATTTATATGTGTATTATCATTCCATAGCACAAAATATAAGATTAGAACGTATTCAAATATTTTCCAAAACATACATTTGTATATGCACATTCATATATACATATATATACATATATGTATATACATATTTCTGAACTTTTATTATATGTACATGCCCATAAATTTTAATTGATTTTTTCCTTTTTTAATAGTGGAGTAAATTATCAACAACATGCCAGCAATTAGATTGTATGCAACGACACGCTGAAGGATATGGAGATTTATGGAGTAAACAAACCATAATTTTAAATGAAAAAAATAAATTTTTACAAAATAATGTTAATAATATAGTAGAAACCAAATCACATCAAATATCAAAAATTTCATTAAAAAATAAACAACAATCATCAAATATGTATGAAAATAGTAGTGGTTCAATATTAATAAATACATCCGGTTCTAATTTAACTGGAACATCAACATTATTAGGAAAATCAATAAATTCATCTGCATCTATACATTTAAATGATATAGATGGAGTAGCAAATGAAATGGAATTACAAAATGTAAATAGTAGTACAATAGAAATATCTAATTCAACAAAAAATAAAATAAAATCAAATGATTGGGTTGTTATACCAGTTTTCTCTGACATCGTCAAATTAGCACTTACAGTTCGAGAAAATTGTTTACAAAAGTAAGTTTTTTTTTTTAATATTTAATTTAATAATTAAAAGAAATATAATAGTTTTTAATTTTTAGATAATAAAAATATTTTAATAAGATTATAAAATTTTTTAATTCTAAAATATTCGTAAAATTATTAAAAGTCTTTTGTTTTTGGGACCTGACCGTTTAACCAAATACTTTTAAACAATTTTAATCATTTTGTATAATACCAAATTTAAATTTTTTTAATATGTATTGGGCTGACCTAATATGGTTATTCAGCATAATATTGAATAATGATGAAGAAAATTAAAAAAAAAATTTTTTTTTAGAGATTCTGCATTTTTAGCAGTTTTATTTTGAGATAATATTCTTACATACTTAGTATGTAAATTTATTTTTTATTGGCTCTTGTATCAGCTGTAGATTGTGCTCTTGATTTAAATCCTTGATCGGCCTGTGGATTTCTATCTGCATGTGATTGAATTCTGCTAGCTGCCTCTTTTGTCATTGGATTTTTTGGTGAATCAGACATTTTCGCTATAATTAAGTAAAATTAAAATAAAAAAAAATAATGAATTTTAAAATTATTTTAAAATATTATTAACAAAAATTTAATCTATAAATTTTCCGAAATTTTAATGATAGACTTTATGTCTATTCTTACTGATTATACATAATTATGTATGATTGTATGAATTCACAAAATGTATAAATTGAAATCCCTATATAACACCGCTATAACGAAATATAGCTGTACAACTCCATAAGAATATTATTTACATAATATGTTACATGAATTTCTGATAGTATCTAATTTAATTTGAAAATAAACTATACATAGCTGTTGAACTATTTCTGTATTGTATACTGAACTGAACAGTACTTTAAACTACATTAAACTATAAATATCATAAACATATGCATACATACATATGTATGTACTTATGTATATGTATGTATTTTCGCAAAATATTTTCTAAAACAGAAATTCTTTAAAAAAAAATCAGAGAAACACATGTATATTTAATCTTAATTTAACTTTATTTATGTATGTAATTAGTAATTACTAATTTTCAAATTTCAAATTAATATGAAATACTCATAATTTTAATATTAAAATTTTATTGCTTACCAAAAATAAAAATCTTTTATTAATTTCACAATTAAACTTTTAAAATTCTTGAAATTTTTAAATATACTCGCACAATTTATAATGCTACTTAGCTTCAAGAAATACTTTCAACTAATAAACTATCGGCGAAAAATATTTTCTATTTATGGAAAAAAAAACTGATTATATTGCAAATTTTAATTTCTATAAATAATCGACAATCTAATATACATAGTACTTTATTATGTTTATGTATATGCCTGTAAATATGTAAATATACATACATACGTATGTATAAGTCCAGATAAAATATACATTTTTTGCATGTAGGTATTTAGAAAATCGATTAAATATGACGACGGCAAGCATAAGAAATATGAAAAGCTCTCCCTAATTAACAATATAATAAAAAAATTGTATATCCATATGTATATTGTTATTTATACGAGTATATAACATAAGCATGTATGTGCAAACATTGAAGCAATTTAAATAAACAACTTAATTGTATTGAAATCGAAAATAAAAATTGGTAATTCCCCGAAAATTTTTTCAAACACATGTATGCAGATGTAAATTCACAATAAGGTTTTGAATTTGTACTAGCAGAATATTTTTGCAATATTAAAATAGCAATACAATGAATTTAAAATGAATTCACAATAGATTAAGTATGAAACCATTGAAATATTTTATCAATGTCAAAGTATTTTATAGTACTACAGTATTTTAGTTACAAAACAAAAATAGTAATTTTCAATATGAGTGAATTAAATTAAAATTAATTTTTTTTTTTTTTGACTTTTAAAAAATTAAGAATTTTTTCTTTCATTTAATAGCATTATTTATTTAATTTTTTTTTCCAAATATCTTCTTTAAGATTACCGAATGGTCATATCAATATAGATGCATTTGATAAATTAGCTGCAATAGTTGGTGCTTTTACAAAACATATGAGTGAAATAAAAATTTCTGCAGGAGAACCTGGTGAATATCAAGCATTTTGTCGTCATATGCAAATAGTATCAACCTTAAGTGATTCAGGTAAATAAAATTAAATGAAAATCATTTTAAAATTTTATTTTACTTATTATAGTACAAGTATGTAAATATAATTTAAAAACATATGTATGTATAATATGTACATAGTGTGATTTTATAATTCCTAAAAATTTTGTTTTTAAGAATTAAACACGCAACGGAAATAATTATAAACTCTTATAATATACAAAACATCCTAATATTTTTTGCATTTGTGTGTAGAGTATGAGTTTTTTTACAAATAAAAAGACTATTTAATTTCTAGAAATATAGAATATATATAGATGCCTGTGAAATAATAGATAATTGTTTTTTTTTCTCACCATTTTTACTATAGAGGAATATTAAAAAATTTATTATTTCTCTTTCCAACATCTATATATGCATACATACATACATAATATAAAATAGTTAGGAACATATGAATTTTCAACTCTTAAGTAACTATATATACGTAAATATGTATGTAAGTATGTATTTTCTCTACCTGAAATTGGAAATATTTAGCAAAAACCTACATACTTATAAATGAAAACCATGAAAGAAATGGTTCTTAATTTATTTGTATGTTTACTTCAAATTTTACTTATAATTTATTACCATGTTTACATTCTTCCTGGCTATATACTAATAAATATTTTCAATTTTTATTATTTAATCTTGATATTAGATAATATATTTTCGTTACTTTATATATACATAAATAGAAAATAAAAAAAGAGAAGAAAATATTAAATAATATCTTGAAAATTTTCTTAGAAATAAGTGTGCACTATAGGTACATTACAATTTCTATTATCATAGTTTCTATGTTATAAGAGACATTAATATATGCATGTATGTATGTTTGTAGTAGATGAAAAATAAATACATAATAAATATCGTTTATTTTCTATTATAACTTGATTTTTTTTTTTTTAAAAAAAACATTACATATTTCATTTTTAATGGTAAAGAAAAACATATTCAAGAAACAAAAATAAACGATTCTTTTTAATTTATTGCAATTTCTATTAATATTATTAGTAACGTTATGACGGTATTATATTATATTGTTAGCAAATCCTATAAATAATTTATTAATGATATATGTATATGTATAAATATTACAACGTTGTAACAAAATTTAGTCCCAGAATAGCACTGTGGCTATATACGGCCCTTGCTAGGCCCATCGTCACCTATGCGTCGATTGTATGGTGCCGTAAGGCTCAGCAGGCGGGTGTGCGGGCCAAGCTGGAAAAGCTACAGAGGCTGGCCTGCCTGGGAGTGACCGGGGCGATGCGGACGGCTCCCACCGCTGCATTGGAGGTGATGATCGGATTGCCGCCACTGCACCTCCATATATTGAAGGAAGCTCGGCTGGTGACTTACCGACTTCTCTCTGGCGAGGACGGGGCAGGGCTAAAGTTGGCCCACAGAACTCACAGAGACTTCATTGAGGGCGATCCGATTCTAAGGATAACCATGTCAGATACCTGTCTGCCGCGGTACAACTTCGACCACAAGTACAGGGTTCTGTTTCCTGATCGATGGACGTGGGATCGGGGTGGTCCGGTACTTAGGTCGGATTCGAGCGTGTGGTATGCGGACGGGTCCAAAACGGAGTCGGGGGTGGGCTCGGGCGTATACGGTGTCCGCCCGGACACGCGTGTATATGCAACCCTTGACCCGTATTGCACAGTGTTCCAGGCCGAAATACATGCAATAGAAATCTGTCTGAGAATCAATTTGGAAAGGGGGTATAGAAACCGCACCATCTATGTGTTCTCAGACAGCAGGGCTGCACTGCTGGCGCTCCGTTCAGCTCAGGTTACATCCAAGCTGGTCTGGAGCTGCCTTGCTGCACTTATGGAATTGGCATCGGAAAACAGGCATCTTCCGCCGTGGGGGCCAGGCTTGCCTGCCTACTCGCGGCGGAATGCAGTCGTCACTGGCGGGACACGAAGGGGTGCCGTCATGCGAAGGTGTTTGTTCCGGCGTGCTCCGGCGGATTCGCTGCGGAGTTGCTGGGGATGAGCAGGAGCCGGGTTCGCACTATTGCGAATTTCTTCACGGGGCACTGCCCGGTGAAATACCACCTGCACAGGCTGGGGAAGTCGGGCTCCCCCCTGTGCAGATTTTGTGGGGGTGGCGATGAGACCGCCGTGCACATTCTCTGCGACTGTCCGGCACTGGCTGTTCGGCGCCGCAATTGTCTTGGACATGGGTCCCTAAGTGTTCGGGGACTATTGTCCAACTCCCTTAGGGATATCGCCGGCTTTGTGATTGGGACGGGGATATTATAGACGGGAGAGTGGGGTGGCTACAATAAGTCAAAAATGGCTGCGGTGGCTTGGGGGGATGCTCCTGTCCCACTCGGTTCCCTTAGAATCTACGAATCTACGAATATGTATAAATATAGGCAATTATAAAATTATATGTAAGTGTAGATGTTCCTATATAATGAATTTTGGTCAACATTATGGTTATATGGTTCTCGTACAATTAATTAAAATTTTAGTTAACTGCAGAAAATAAAGCTAAAAATTCTATAATTCCATACATAATTATAATAAATTTTTTAAAGTTGTATATTACATCTTATCGGATCTAAAATTCTAATTTTTACCTATAAAATTAAGATTATTATTGATTATTGATTTTAAAAAGCAGGCTATACGCGTTAAATATGTACATAAATGAGCTAGATATATTAAAAATCACAATAGTCTTGCTTTTAACAGCAACGTTAGATTTGATTGACATGAGCAACAATGCATTGCAACACAAAAAGTGAATCTATTATGTGTCCGTCCTCTCACCTGTCACGACTAAAGCGCTCCCTCTAGACCTATTCATTTGTAAAATTTGAGTATATATTACAAAATATAAGGGCTCAAATAGACATTCAGTTTTTCATAAACATTAAAAGAATTTTGAAGTTCCACGTTTAATATTTTTGGGACCAAATTTAAATCAATTGAATTCAAGTTCTTTAAAACATATTTCATTATATAATAATAGTGTAAACTGTTTTTTCTTATTTGCATAGTTTACCAACTTTTTTTGTATTAAGAAATTTGTTAAAATTCACCTGTAGTTTCCTAAAACCAACAAAAAAAGAAAAAGAAATAGTAACTTTTTATTTAATCCCTTTAAAAATAAGATAAATTTCTAAATTTTTTATTCTAATTTTATTAAAAACGAAAAAAAATAGAGTTGACCTTGTCAACTCTGTGATACCCGTACGAATTTGTTATCCTATGTGCGAATAAATATGCCATAACTGACTATGGGGCAGACCATGACTTTAAGTTGTTGTATTACCATATTAATTTATGCAAAATTTCAGTACTGTGTTCTTTGAAATACTGTGTGTGCCAAACTACTATTGGAGTTGTATGGCAGCTACCAGAAAGAGCCAAGAAATTTTAACGAATTTTATCAAGCGCGTCGGCCCTACGAATGTATTCACTTGTGTGAAATTTCAATAACATAGCCTTTATAATTTCCGAGATATAGCCAAATAAATTTTGAAGTTGTATGGCAGCTACCCGAATCAATACTCCAATTATGTCCAATTTAAATAGGGTTCTAGAACTTACTACAATAAATTATTTGTGAAAATTTTGTGAACTTAGCTCAATTATTTTTTGAGTTATCGCTGGGACGGGCGGACGGACGGACGGACAGACAAAGCTAAATCAACTCAGAACTAGACGCTGATAAAAAACATACACTTGAGTCTATATCTAACACCGTTATTCCTTAGCGTTACAAACGGTAAGGCAAATTTAGTATACCCTTCGAACATACGTTCGTACGGGTATAAAAAATGGATATTCAGTTATATAATTCAAAGATATTAAATTCTAATAAACTTTATGTTTTTCCTTATACATATATGTATGTAAAAATAAAACCATAATAAATCAAAATTTCTCCTTCAAATTTTCTATAAATTTTTCTTCATAACGAAATTAATATGTAAAACAAAACAAAAAACTTTCAATCCATAGTTTTTAACAACTTTTTGTGTTTCTATCAAAAATTTTGTTATTTTTTATACTTTAAAAAATTTTAAGATTTTCTATTTCGTTGTTATTACTGAACATACAATATTATTGAAATATTTTATGAAAAATTTCAAAGTTTCTGTTTATTTACAATAAGTATGTTGCATATACTTACATATATGTAGTATGTATGGTCATATAAAATTTTAAAAAAAAATTAACACAATTTCCTTCTAAATTATAATTAATATGTAAATATTAGTAATATTTTAAGTAATACATTGAAAGGATCCGATTTCGAATAATATCACATTGTTACAATATCACTAGTTCAATATTTCGGCCACAATATCACTGTTTCAATATTATGAAGATCGATATATTGAAAAATCATCGACAATTTAAAAGAATTTTTTTGTAAATACTTTCTATGTTGGTGCGGAAAGTCTTTCTCTTGAAGAATTGGCAAATCGAATTAATTTTATAATTAAATATTGTTAAATTAAAAATATAATATATGAGATTTTTTCATACCAAATTTAAAACATTCAATAAATTACAAATATTTTTTAATTAATTTTTCAATGACTAATGAGCATAAAGAGTAACAATTCTTTAAAAAATATACAAATATAGTTATATTTTTAGTAAATAGATTCCAATTTTAAAAAATATTCTGTATAAACAAATAATACTTATATGTATGCGTATATGTAGACAATATAATAAAAAATTGCAAAGAAAAAAAAATATTTTAAACTTTATTCACCTTGCTAATGTAGTATAACCTACTTGTGTATTATATTATCGATTTTGGGGCCGGGTGTTTAGATGGCTATTACCAATCTGAAAAAAACTTAAAGAACTTAAGGTTTTAAACACGTTTTTGTTTAAAAAAAACAAAATGCAATGCAGAAGCGACAGCAAACAAAAGATATTTATACAAAATTAGCATAATGCCTATATACATTTTGCATATATTCATAACTTTAATAAAAGTAATTC